CCCCGGCAAAGTTATGGGCCTTATGGGCCAAGAGAGGGAACGCACCAGCCACAAGGGGCTGGTGCGCCCCCATAGCATGCCGGCCTAGGAGGAGAATGAAAGAGGGAGGGAAAGGAAAGTGTGGAGTAGGAGTCCCCCTTCCTTCCCTCTTCCCCCTCTTTCCTTCCCCTTGGGAAAACATGGCAGGGGGCGCAGGACAAGGCAGTGCTCCTAGGGGGCCGGCGGCCAGCCCTAGGGCACGCCTGGCAACCTCCCCTCCCCTTCCACCTATATATATGTGGGTAGTGGGCGCCACACAAGGACACAACATTGTCTTAGCCGTATGCGGCGCCCCGTCCACCGTTTACTCCCGCGGTCATATTTTTGTAGTGCTTAGGCGAAGCCCTGCGAAGATCACATCACCATCAGCATCACCACACCGTCGTGCTACCGGAACTCATCTACTACCTCGTCGTCTTGTTGGATCGAGAAGGCGGAGGACGTCACCGAGCAGAACGTGTGCAGAACACGGAGGTGTCATGCGTTCGGTACTAGATCGGTTGGAGCGCGAAGAAAGTTTGACTGCATCAACCGTGTTGTGAAACGCTTCCTCTTACGGTCTACGAGGGTATGTAGACATACTCTTCCCCCCCCCCCTCGTTGCTATGCATCTCCATGGATAGATCATTGCGTGTGCGTAGAATTTTTTTTGTTTTCCATGCAATGTTCCAAAGACGGTACCGGCCAATCCATGGCAAGGCGCAGTCGCCCGTGGCAAGATGCGCCAAATCCCGCCGCAATAGGATCTACCGGTTGTCTGCCAGCGCCGGGGCGAGGGAGGCACAAATCTGGTGGTCGTGCTTTGGGCGGTCGGGCTGGACAACAAGGCAACCGGGAAAATGGGCGGCGGCACCTATGGCGGCGGTGGGTGGTGGGAGCGGTGGGAGGGGGACGAGAAGAGAAAAGAAGGCATCTGTGTCCCCGACGGTCGGGCCAGAAGAGGACAAGGGCACGCGTCCCGTCGGTCCGCGCATGTCCGTTTCGAGGCAAACACGGCCTAAATTTAGGCCAAGAATGGGTCAAAACCAGATAAAAAAGGATATTTCTCTATTTGCTCCCATGCGTTGGGCCGCGTTTTGTGTCCATTTAGGGCATATTTGGATAGTGCCAATTTTTTGGCGAGCAAATTCACCGCCAGCCTTTCGCCAGCGCGCGGGCGCAGAATCGCAACATATCTCGGCAAGGCGACCAAAAAGTTGGTAAGCTCCTAAAAATTAGTTGTGATCCAAACACCTTCCAACCCATCGGTCAATGACCAAAAAATTGGCAGGGCAGCTCCTGGCTTCCATCACAATAGACCCTTTAGTCTCAAACGGACGCACACGGATCATTTGGGGTTTGTGTTGGAGTTGGTCTTAAGACCAACATTTTGTACCGTGTGTAAATTGTTTAATCGTAAGATGGGACGTGTTGTATTAAAATGAATTATTCTTTTTTTACTCAGAAGACTAGTTTAAAGGAAGTGACTGACTAATTTTCTCGCGCCGTTCACCACCTCCGTGGCCGTTATATATGATTTTCATGGGGCGGCCCACGTCAACCCACCATAAGAATTTCAAGAACGACCAAACAACCCAGGGATGGTAGGGCGGTTGCCCGCGTGCGGTGGCACATTGGCCAAGCGCAATACCGAGCCGGAAAGTTGTTTTTGGGTGATGTACAGAGGAGAGAGGAAAGTGAGAGAGAAGTAAGAGAAGGAGGGGAGGAAGGACAAGGGCTCGACAACGTGCTTAAGCTTGTGCAACATGCATTTGGGCACATCATCAACAACACCATAGTAGAGTGGCTCAAGAATGGTATCAGGGGTCTCCTAGATCCATTAGAAGCTACTCTCTTCGTTTCTAAATATTTGTCTTTCTAGAGATTTCAACAAATTACTGCATACGAAGCAAAATGAGTGAATCTACACTCTAAAATATATCTATATACATTTATATGTGATAGTCTATTTGAAATCTCTAAAAAAATTAAATATTTAGGAACGGATGGAGTAAATGAACAAAAGGATCCTTCCAATCGGTGCAACAAAGCTCCAAACAGAAAGTACTCTATTTTTTGACAAAGGGAACATATTAATATCGAGGAGATACCAATTATACCTGGCCTCTGTACCAACAAGATGTCCAAAAACATCAAGGATACACACAGCCAAAAAAGAAAATAAAGACAACAGAAAAAAAAAGATCCTGCCATGGTGATCAATCACTAGCAACAACAACACTCTAACGACCACCGAAAATAACACTCGGATTACAAAAGAGGTTCTCCAAAAGCAACGCCTTTAAGAAAGAAACAATGCACAAGCGTTGTCGTTACCCGATCGAAGATCTTGGGTTTTCACCCCGAAGGAAGTCTGAATTTACCCCAAAACAATGCCTTCAACAAGATCATTACCAGGAACAACCAGTAAAAGCCAGATCTTGGGTTTCCACCCTGGGAATCGAGACTCGATACTTGAGGAGCACCACCAAATTTGCAATCCTCCAGTATTGCCGCCCCCGCTTGCCGATGCCGCTATTGCAAGTCACCAAACACCTAGCAGCAGTCTGCAACGCATCCAATACACCGTTGCGCCAACGCTTCGAGACATCCAATCGCAGCCGCCATAACTTCCTCCGCCTCTATCAATGCCTTGGGAATATTGACATAGACGTGCATGACTCGGATAAGAAAGCGAAGTTTCGTGCCGCACCCCTTGAAGCCGTGATGGCTGGTAATGTGAGCACGCGCGACAATAATATTCTGATATAGATATCCACGGAGGCCAATCCGTATAGATCTCCAATAAGGAAGACCGGAGAAATCATGTCGCCTTGGCCTGCAGCCATCCCATGGCGGCACCACACCCGAGACCAGTTTGTACGTGGATCGGGTGGCACCGAACCATGGGAGAGGGTCACCAACGGCACACCCAATGCCCTGTGTCAACAAAGGGGTGGTGCGCCGGCAGTCTAGCCGGCCGCCGATCTTCTCCACGCAGGCACCGAGTACATGTGCACGGCCCTGATGGTGGAGCGACATGCATCCAGCCTAGCAATGGTACATGCCTTGCATGCTTCGTATGCATGAGGCGTGGACGAACGAATCTTGCCGCGCATCTTGTGCGACGCAGCCGTGATCCGCGGAGATGACTGCAAATCCAAAGACCGGCGGCCTGCCAGATCGTGAGGTTGCTGGCGCCCAGATAGCGATGCCGCCGGCCGCAGCCAGATCGAGAGGCCGGGATGCAGGACGACGATGGGCAGATCGGGAGCAATCTTGTAGGGTTGAGTTGAAGACCGAAAGGCTAGAGAAAGAAAAAAGACAACTGGACATGCCCCGCCGCTGCCGATCCGACGACCTCCTCCGATGGCAGCGTGGTGAACGGGGAGGCGGGGAAGGCCCTTGTGAGGTCCCGGCGGTGGCGCCTCCGGAGTCGCCCTAAGCGAGCCGGGAGACAGTTCAGTCGTGTTTTTCTTTTCTTTCCTGACCCAAAAAAAAATACTCTATATTATTTTAGTATATCATAAGAATCATGAAACCGGATCCTCTAACATTGAGAAGGAAAGTTAAAGAAGCTACGATACCTAACTTTCCTTCTTTCTATCCATATGATTATGGCTAAAACAATTTAAATTAATTTGGGTTCCAAGGATCATAGTACAAGTCACATACATGCCGACATGATAAAACTGAAAAGACAGCAAAACGCTAGCCGTTGCACATAAGAACACTAGCCAAGAAGTAAGATTACAAACAAGACTGAAGGATCCTCTGAGCTTGACACCAACGTTCGTCACCTGCCTCTGGCACCACCATAGCAGCCATCAAAGGAGAAAATGACGGATCGCCACCCAAGCTCGACGCGGCTCCATCGCTGATATGCAACTTTGCGGACCTCCAAGGTGGCTCGCCAATAAAGGCCAAGCCATTGCCGTTGAATGAAACAGATCGGGGCAACACCCCAGACAAGCCATCGAACTCCAAATCTGACACCCCCGCCCAACTAAGACGTTGGAGGAAACCATACCTGCCTACTACGAACAACAAACTCAGATCCACCATCTTTCAGATGTCGTCGATGCAGACCACAATCTGCATCTGCTCCTGGACTACCTCCCAAGCTCCACGCCGGCGCTAGAGCAAACGCTGTCACAAAGGCGGAGCCCGAGGACACAAGTCCAGCACGATGATGCCGCCGCCGCACCATCCTTACTTGAACAACCTGGTTTCCAAACCCACCCGAAAAGCGGATCGCCTCGTGGGGAAGGATCTGAAGATTTATTAGTCGGCGCCGCCATCGCCACTGTCGAAGCCATGACGATGAACAACCCAAAACCCTATAAAAAAAACTAATGCCTAAAACAATCTACACGCGTGGATCCGGCAACCCCTCACCACCAACGACCAAGGTCATCAGCGAAGGGGAACCGCCGAAGGATGGCGGCGGAGGAAGGTGCCCTGGCAGCAGGAGACGAGACCTTTTTTTCTTATCCTAAAACTTATACTCCCTCCGTTCCCAAATAATTGTCTTTCTAGCCATATCAAATGAACTATAACATACGAATGTATGTAGACATGTTTTACAATGTAGATTCACTCATTTTGCTCCGTATGTAGTCACTTATTGAAATCTCTAGAAAGACAATTATTTAGGAACGGAGGGAGTAGTAGAGTGGCTAATTTTATGGGGAGAGTATTGCCAGGGAGCGCAGAAGGCATACGCATACACCAGAAACTGAATTACCCTGACAGCCTGCTCACTTGCTAATTGCTATCGTTCCACTCTCGGAGGAACAACTTACACTATCCGCTTTGCTCTATGCATGTCAAAGTTCAGACCTCACCAGCCATCACGAGCCGTGCACGATCTCGCTCTCCAATTAACAGAGACACTTACACTACCGTACGAGTAGCCTCGTCATCATGAGCCATGCAGCCAGAGAACAAAAAACGAGACAAGCAAACAACGCTGCACTCTGTCAAATGTAGTCACCCTGCACAATCTTCCTGGCGATGAACTTCCCCAGGAAATCAAATCCATGGCAGTAGAGAGCTTCGATCTCAGCGCGCGTTCCCGTCTCGACCATCCGAGTCAACTCCGCCCTGTGCATGTCCTGCAGGCACAACACCAGCTTATAACTTGCCGGTATCAAAGTTGGAGGGGCAATGCATTAGGCGGTCTACTTGGCGCTGTACTGGAATTCAGACAAGAAACTACTCCCTCCGATCCATATTAATTGAAGCTGGTTTAGTACAAAGTTAGTAACTGACTCTTAACATTGTCAGATGGCCCATAACGCACATGAATAGTTTCGGAAGACTTGCAATAAGCGTACTGGTTTTGAGTTCAGGGTGATTAGTTGATTGCATATGGGAGCATATTTAAAGGAATTAAAACTTCTCGTAACAAGTGAAGCTTGACCGAGAAGTCTGGTGCTGCACTGCTACCGCGTACAGTGATACTCGTATCCATATGGAGTACTCCCTCCGTCCGGAAATACTTGTCCTCGAAATGGTTGTATCTAGACTTATTTTAGTTATAGATACATCCATTTCATCAATTTTTAGGACAACTATTTCCGGACGGAGGGAGTACATGCTTAAAACTGCCATATATGACCCATACTCAGCCGTGGAATATACCCAGGGAAGATGCTCAGTGCATTTCAGAGCTCTTGATTTTGTGAGCCAATGTCATGTCAAATTAACCAAAACATATCGTTAGTCATCCATCTCTCAACCACAGCAGTCTTAGTAGAGTCAACAAGGTATTAGGTGGCTTCAAATATAAATGATGAAAATGTTATCTGTTGCAACATGAATACACTCTCAAGGCTACATAAAGAATTGCTGTGTATAATTTTTTGTTGTATTCAATTTGGACTTCTATATTTTCAACACACAGAATCTGAAAGTTGAGAAATAGCAGACACACCTGCAGAAACTTAGATGACAGCAAGCTTTTGGCGATCTGCAAATCACGAGGTTTCAACTCTTGGAATGCACTCTGAGAGATAAGTTGCAGATCATCTCCTCTTAGTCCAAGCCATTTTACATTGCAAGCTGGAATTGAAGAATATCATTAGTGTCGTTTTGAAAATATGGGTTTGATCAAGCTTTGATCATCCAAAGGAATACCGTATCTGTATGATTCCAAGCCCATTGATATGCTTCCATATTTGTAAGTACACAGTATAGAGAGCCCTGCAGGGTTCCTGAATTGAAGAGAAATCTAACTTTATCCAGAAAACAAACAACCAGAATATTATACTCCCTCCGTCCCGAATTACTTGTCACAGAAATGGATGTATCTAGAATACCTCTAGATATAGATACATCCATTTCTGTGACAAGTAATTCGGGACGGAGGGAGTACATATTAAAATTAGAAAGTGCTTCCGTTCACAAAAAAAGCATTAGAAAGGGCTTAACCAGTCCACTAATGCAAATATTGGCATATTTGGAAAAGTCTGGCTCAGTCGATGCAAGATAAACCTGTTTCAGAACATTAAAAGATAAGTTGGATCAGTACGAGTAACTAGTATAGTCAATCAACAATATAAAGGAGTGTATTGGAGGTACAGAACCTTGTGGCGATATCAGGATATCCTTTTGCAGTGATGAGGATACATGGAAGCTGGTTATATAAGCGGTCTTCAGCCAGCCTCTGAAATATGGCATCCTTGTTCAAATAGGAGGGCTGTCAGCTGGAATTAAATCAAGTGGAATACAGCAATGCATTGTAAAGGGTAAAAACAGTACCTTCTCCACTAGAATGAGATAACGGGCATCTGAAGACAAATTTAATCTGCTCAATTGGTTCAGATCCCCAGTAATGGCATGCCCAGAAGGTCCAAGAATGGAACAATCAATGTGTTCTTCCTCCGCTTCCTAAGATGAAGACAAGGTTGAGGCTGTTGCAGTTTCATGAGGAGGTAAACAAGAGTTTTATTGATCCCCTTAACAGACAGCACATATTTGTATCAGGCATATCACTTTTACTTTTCAGCATACACACACATGCAACATAAGTCGTCCAATCAGAGCCCCTCTACTTGATGCCATGATTCCTAAACTCTGCCTTGTGCAACGGAGCAATGAAACAACATCTACACAAGACCAAAGTGCAAAATCTGAGTAAGCGACTATTATGGATATGTCACATGATGACGAAAAAAGAACAAAATGCAGTGTTTGGATTTTGAAGACCTTGGATGGTTTGATTGACATGGCGCTGACAGCTGAAGTACTTGGGTGAGTCCGATAGTAGTTTGTAGAACAACTCCCGCTGGGTGACAAGCTTCCCGTCTCCCAAGATCTTGTAGCACATCTCCATGACTTTCCATACTATTAAAATTGCACAACCATTTTAGATGACTATAAAGATGCGTCCAATCATGGAGAATGCATTCCTCAGATACTTCAGAAATCAACAACAACCACCTCTGACGAATGCCTTGGCATCATTTTCTCTCATTAGTGACCTCTTGCAGAAGGCGTAGGACAGATAAACCGATGAAACATCGCTCAGCAAGCCGCTGCGCAGGCTGCAATTGGTGGACTTGCGTGAGATCTGTGGTGCCCACAACACTTAATCAGACAAGCACAATGCATTCATCACATGTATGAAACAGCCATGACTGCATTTATGAGATGAGATGAGTTGGAGGATTTGGGGTTTGTGGACCGGCGTACCAGGGGGAGGACAGAGATGGCCGGAGAAGAGGGAGACGAGAGCGCGGCGAGGAAATTGAGCACCGCCACCTCGATCCTTGCCCGAACCTATCGAGAGAAGCAAAGCATGTCGATTCGATCAGAGGCAGGGGCGGACGAGGGAAGTTGGGGCATGAGTGGAGTGACGTATGGCAGACCTCGGGCGGCGAGAGCACGTCGGCTGAGCAGAGGCGGCGGTCCGCACCGAAGAGCGAGGCTGCGGGTACGTCCGCCTCCGCCTGCGCCATCCGCACCGCACCGCACTGCACCTCCTTCCTCAGGGGACGAAATGGCAGCCGGCCCTTCTAGAGGCTCTTATGCTCTGATGGGCTGGGCTGGGCCCTAGTGAAGCATTTGGGGCCTCTTTGGCATCTGTGGCCCGACTCAAACCATGTTTTGCATGTAGTTTGTTTGCATCCATTCCCTTTTGTGAAAAACCGACAAAACTTATTACCTATCAGTCCATATCATTTGTTCCCTCTCGTTAGGGTGTGAGGGTTTTATCTCCCGTCGGTCCCTGCGCCTTGGAGATCGATCTATCCTCCTTCGACAAGCCATGGCGAAGCATGGCGATCCATCGGCTTCAGGATCAAAGGGGAAGGGAAAGTTGGAGGAGCTAATGAAGGAGCTAGACCTCAAGGAAGACGACCTCGGCGACGTTGTTTTCGAGGAAGATGACACCTCGACAGTGGAGGACCTCTGCTGGATGATCTTGGTCAGAGTCCACATGGACAAAGGGTTTAGCACCTACTGGTTCTTCCGCAACATGAGGACGCCCTGGGATCTTGCTAGGTCGGTGAAAATCAAAACCCTGGAGGAGAACCTCTTCCAGATGCAGTTCAACTGCCTAGGCGATTGGGAGAGAGTCACTCAAGGGGGTCCATGGCACTTTCGAGGCAACCCGATGATCATTGCCCCCATATGATGGATTCACAAAACCAACAGAGATAGAGTTGTACAAGTTTGAGATCTGGGTCCGCATTATCAACCTGCCTATTGGCTTCCATGGGAAAGTGAAGGTGCTTGCTGCCAAAATTGGTGAGTTTGTGGATTCAAAGCCATCTTTTTTGACTTTGAAGGAAACTTCTATAGGGGGTTCGGCTTGATGTGAGAAACCCTCTCAAAAAAGCAATCTCGCTGATCCGTGGAGGAGAGAGGGTGATCTTTGCTGTCAAGTACGAACGTCTACCTAATTGGTGCCAGGTCTGCGGTATGATGGGTCACGAGTTTAAGGAGCATGGGATGGAGTACGCCCCTCCCCTCGGTGCTGACCTTCAAAAATCTGAGAGCACCTGCGACCACTGCTTGGGGCACCCACCGCCGCAATAGAAGCCGGAACTCAAAGCCTCGTGATGGTCAGACTGGCGTAAGCTTGGAGGAGGGGAAGGATGATTTGCAGAATCAACATGCCACTGATATGGAGCTCTCTGAAGCCAACCGTAAGCGCTCTTCACAGCAGGTTGTGGAACCAATTACCTCGCCGGGCACTACTGGGATGGAGTTGGTTTTAGCAGCAAAGACAAGCGGGGGTGCAGCCCC